CCCTGATTTTCTGCAAGTCAGGCGCTACAGCCACTCACCCGTCACCAGGGAGAACTCAACACCCAAAAGGGTTGAAGGTTCGGATGTGACTTTCCAGTGGGTGCTACTCGAATAGAAGGCCTTAGACAAATAAATGCCCCTTCCCGGAAAAACAGAGCAAACACACACTGACCTTCAACAAAGCACATCAACCATACATGAGTCACAATCAAAACCTGGTAGCAAAATGGTCTACCCAAATCCATGTAAGGAAACTAAAAAGCGGCCGCAACCATTTCTGGCTGGGACTGCCCCTTGCTGCCCTTCATCTACCCGGGTGTTGACCATTTCCAAATCCAATTTGGACGATCTTCTGGAGAGAATTTGCCCCGCCTGGATCCTCTCGACCCTCGGACATTTGGGAGAGCAAGCGCCTCGGTGCGAAAAGGTGCAGCCCCTATTTGGACACAAAGCCATGCCGCCGGGACGCCGTGGCGCCTTTTTAAGGGGGATACCAACAAGATCCAACAAGCATCCCTGATGATTTTGAAAGACAGAACACTCATTTGGGTGCTTCGTCTTTTTGTTGGAGGCAACCCCTTTCTTGTGGTTTTAAAGGAAAGCTAAAAAGGAACAAACAATTTCTGTGGGGTCCACCAATGTCTGTCTGAAATTCTATGGCCCAGTTTTGACTGACGTATCGATAAGATAGAGCCACGTGCTTCAAAGCAGATATTGCCTGTAGGGCACACCTCCAGCGGACTTTAGACAACCTCCTTTGGGATCCAAACCACATTTGTCTTCTTTTGAGGGCACCTATCTGTTTTGTGGTTTTAAAGGGAAACCAACAGGTCACCAACCATTTTGGTGGGTCCTCAAAACAAACACAAAAAAACCAAAAAATGACAAACCCCTTTTGGATCCAAACATCTCCTTGCAGACAATCGCCAGGCCACAGCACAGGCCGGTTCTGGAACTTTTGCTTCACGCCGCCTGCCGAATTTGGGGTACCCTCCCACCAACTAACTTGGATTCTGACAAGAGGATCCTGAAAGACCATTCTCCTTTTAAAGGGACCCCGAACGTCAGGTTCCATGTTACTTGGTGAGAGGATAATCCATTGAATGGGCTCGATCACTGATAGGGTTTGGGTTTAGGGTTTAGGGTTTAGGGTTTGGGGTTTGGGTTTCCAGGATCGGATGCGAAAAACACATGGTTTGTCCCGTGCAAGCAATCGGAACCCGCTTATTAGAACGGCTTTTCGGGTGTCCTGACTGATGTCAGTCTCCAAATTGTAAGACATGTGCGGGATTTGCTCGAAATGAAACCCTCTCAAGTAGAACCACCCAATGCACACGTGCAATAAACCACACAGGGGCTGTCCGGTTTTAGATCTATCAAAAGTTTTGATGTTTAGTGAAAAGTCATCATACAACTCATTTCCCGAGTTGCTGGGCCAAACAATGTCCTAACTTGTTGGTGTCCACTAAAATGCTCTTCCAGAACGCTTAAAGTTCAAGAACTCAGATAGTGAGTAAACTAAGCTAAGGAGCCGGATGGCTGAGAACCAGATCAAGAAACACATGGGCCATTGATCTCTTCGATTCAACTTTCTGACGCGTGGGCAACCGACCGGAAGCATCTGAGACGGGGGGCGAAGGCAGGAAAAGCATCGCGGCAGTATTCGAAGGGCATCTTGTCGAAGACAGAGTCCACCCCCAAACCACTACCAAAAACAGAAAAAACGAGGTATATACGTTTCATTGCGGTAGCTAGATGCGAGTAGCATATACGATTCAACCCTGTGAGCAGTTTGGGGATCTTGAAAACCATAGAGTTTAATGTTCGTTTACTTGCCCAAAGGACCTGGATCTTAAACATGGACCATGGTTGAAAACCATAGGTGTCCTTTTGGGCAAAAAAAAAAGGCGCTGGTAAATGGAACGAAACCCATCTAAACCAGTGCCATCTAATTCTAGCCAAACTAAGCTGAAAAGGACACGCATGGGCAGAACCTATATGTCATTTCACGTCGGTTTTGGACGATTGAGTTTCACGTTCAAAAGGATTCAGCACAAAAAGCCTCTGGAGGGGTCCTCTGAGTCTCCGTGTGTGATGCGGGTGTCAAAGAGTGTCGCGTTCACCAAGACAATGTCCATGAATAAATCACTTCCATTTGCAAAGGAGAACATGTTTCCAGTAGTGAAATCGAATCCCCTAAAAAACCAACAGGGAAAATAAACAATACTAATCTCAGAAAATGGAAGATCATGGCTGTAGTCGCAAAACAACACGTGCCCGATTCGGAAGACCCCCCCCCGGAAGCCCTGTCGATGTTATATCATGAAGACCCCTGAGCAAGCCTGAACCGAGGTGTCCACCTCACCTTCAAGTGTGATTGAACAGCTCAAAAGTCACCCCAACCAACAAGCAACCTCGCACGCACTTGCGATTCTGTTTCGAACCAAACCAAATGAGCGCGCAAGTCCTGCAGCATTCACTCCATGCGGACCTGGTTTGGAACATTTCCCGGTTTTGTTTCTGTTGTCTGTTCCCAAATCAAGGAGGTACATAGGGCGTAGCAAAAGCCATATTGGGGGTTGAGCCCAAAACTGGGTATGTTCCTCATGATGTCCCTTCAAACAACCATGCCAAAAAGGGCACCCTCAAAGAAGCAAACAAATACATAAATAAGCAAACAAACGAGCAAGACAAGACAAGACACGCAAGACAAGAAAGCAAGGAAGCTAACAAACAAACAAACAAACAAACAAACAAACAAAAAGCAAACAAACAAACAAACAAACAAACAAACAAACAAACAAACAAACAAACAAACAAACAAACAGACACAAATATTGGGGGCCTCGGGAAAAAACAAACACGCAAAAGGTCATCTACCGAATCGGACTGGCCTGACACTTGCGGCGCAGGAATCTTGGTGATGGACTGGCGAACATCTCTGAGCCTCGCATTCGTTTTTTTGATCCCATCCGCGGGGTAGGTACGTTACAGGGGGTAGTCGAGAGGCCCCAGAGCCGGAGTTCCTTACGCTTCCCGAAACAGGTTCCCTATACATTCCCGAAACAAATTCTCGAAACGGGTTCCTGAGGGACTTTCAGGAACCCCCCCCCTCCCCTTCCTGGACCACCACCACCATAGGGATTCCCCAAACAATGTATTGAGAAACGGATGACTAAACCTCAAGAAACCAAACGGTTTCCCTTTGAAACGCCGCAAACTGGTTTCTCAGCCTTGGGATTCCGATTGCAACAACCCCAAACGGGTTACCGCCGAATACATTGACTGCCTTGCTTCCTTAAGCGGCATGGGCTAAGCTAGTCATATGAAAACGGCATTGTATGGCCAGTTTCAACTCGGCAGGGGGAAAAAAAAAAAAAAACGAACACAAAACGCGAATAACCGCGACGGAGTGAGCCCCGCCTCATGTGCGCCACTCTGGTCTGACATCTTTTCTCCACATCCGTCCGCTCAGAGCTCATGGCGCTTCGCCCCCGCGGCGCGGGGCGCGTCGCACGCCGCGAGGCAGAAAAACAAAAGGCGGCGGCTGCGGCCCAGCTGGAAGGGGACGGGCCTGGGTTTATGGGTATCCTTGCATCATGGGCATGTATATAATTGTATGTATATATATATATAATATCAGCTGCCCTGCATTTTCTGGTGTGGATTGGTGGCTTGCAGGTTTGGAGGTGAGGAGCTGGTTTCCAATTTACCCCCGAAAACCAGAAGAAGAAAAGGCAACAAAAAAACAGGGGTTCAATTCGCACAACCAATTTCCCAAACCACCTAAGGGGCACCTGAACTGACACTCCACTCGGCTTTGTTTTTGCAGATCCATTTCTTCCCACTGAGCCCAGGAGGCACCTGGGCGACGGCAGTCAGACATTCTCTGGCAGAAGTGACGTGTGGGCGAGGGAGTTTTATCTGCCAAAGGATCGTGCAAGTAGGTCAATTCTGGGGGGAGGTTGGGATTCTGGGGGTCAATTCTGGGGGTCAATTCTGCAAGTAGATCGTGCAAGGGGTTGGAGCTTGGGATTGTCCCTAGCCTTCATCGTGCCTCAGGTTAAGGCAAGTCAACTGCAGGGAAATTGACTCAGGTTCAGCGGTTCGCACCTCCAGGTCAACCGTCCCAAAAGGGCACCGAATCCGTTGGAAAAAAAAGGCCACCAAATGCAGGAAGCCTTTTGAGGAGGTATGGTTTGACGAATATCACCTTGCAATCACATGTCCATGTAAGGCAGGGTTTCTCTGAGGGGACAAGGCAAAGGCGCATAGACCGATCGCAGGACCAGTCCCAGGACCGGTCCTGAGAATCCACTTTTTGTGCTTTCGGGCGTGTCCCCCCAGAAACAAACAAATCATCATGGATTCCAATCACTTCATTCCAGTTGCATCCATGGGGATTCTCAAACTAGGGGAGGAAACCACGAGGAAGCTGACCATCTTTATTTTGGGGTCCCCCATTTTGAGGAAAAAAAAAGGTGTTCCCTCACTTCCCTCAGTTGATGCGCCAAACAGCAGCCACACTGGTGGTTTTCCACTACAATGGTCCAACCCCAAATAGTTGCAAGCCCCGGAGCTCAGGGGAGTGAGCGCATTGAATAAGCTGGGCTTGCTTCACCGGGGTTCCCATGGCTTCACCGGGGTTGGCTTGGGGGGGGATGAAAGCCCATGACTCACTTGCTGAGTGGATGGCCCAAAAAAAGTACCCGAACTTTATATATTTACCACTAAAAATGGTCCAAACCCAACAAGTTTAAAAGTTCATGAACAAAGGAAGTGAGAAATTAGCCTCTACAAGATCCAAGGGTTCAAATCAACCGCCAAACCACCAACTGGTGAGTTCCCGATACTTACCCCTTAAAACTCCCTGCGCCCTGGGGAAGTTTTCATCTTTTACAGACATATAGCCCATGCTACCCAAAAAGTTGAGAAAAGTTGTGTTTTCAAGAGGTACGTGATACTTCCCCCCTAAAACGTCGCTGCAAAGACCTGCCGTCCTGCAGCTCGCGGCAAAGAGCATCAGCCACTGCCCCACCTGCCGGATCTTCCGTGACGGCTGAACCCTACCGGTGGCCAAAGAAAACAAGGGACACCCTTGCTTTTCTGGGCAGGTCTATGCTAAAAGTTTTTTGGTTGTCTCGTGGCTTGATTGGGAACCCGCACTGAGTGGCCAAATAAAACATGGGCATCCTTGGTTTTCTTCGCTGTCTTCAGATCCCCTGCTATAAGTTTAACTGTTGGCGGGGTAATTGGAACCCCCCAGAAATTCCCCAAATCCTAAAAACCCATGGGGACCAACCCTACACATATGTCCTTTTCCGTGGTGTCCCAAAAGGAAGCCTACCCCAAAACGGGCTGGTTCAAGGAGCCTCGAAGCCAACGCGGCGAACCCACACGACTCAGACTCCCCACCTGCCGCTCCATCCGCGTCTTCTTTGACCACCTGGCGACGGCGGCTTTCTGGGGCCTGAGAGGCGCGAGAGCCTCCTGGACCTGTCCAACTTAAAACATAAGTTCTTATGTTCCAAGCTTTTGGGGGCGTTTCTCATTTGTTTCATCAAACATAAGTTGTTCCAAACTGTTGGGGCGCTTCTCACTTTTTGTTCATTGGTACTTTGAGGGTCCAAGGTAAGAGCCTCCTGTGGATGGCCATCGGCACGGCTTGGTGGGTTTATCCCGGCGTTCTTCGGGTTCCAAGCGGATTTGGTCGTGGGAAGAAATGGATTTCGTGTAGCATCTTCGAAGTTGTGTGGTTCGACAAGTAGCCTTTCCCAAGTGCGAAAGGACGATTACCCTCTGGGGATGGTGGTTCATTGAATTTGGGTCTCACGCCCGTACCCAATGTGCGTAGCCGCCATGAAAAGCTCCAAATTGAAATACCGACTTGTTTCAAGGGTGTGATGTCAACCCCTGACTAAGAAAGGGTATTTACAGTTGGAAACCGGTTTGTTTCCAAATGTACCCTAAAAAAAACGGGTAACCATTTGGAGTAGGGGGTAGATGACAAGTTCCTCGAAACAACCCACAAGTCTGATACTCATGCAACCCAAAGCCCAGCGCTCGATTCGATTCAATTCAGCGTGATGCCTTTCCTTTCCAAAGCAAACAAATGGGTACTTGGCTACAAGGCAACACATCCTGTTCTACCCAATTTGGGCCCCCCTCGCACACAGGGAACCCATGCTGGTTGAGAAAAAAAACAACAACACGAATCACTTAACTCTGGGGCAACCCTGTAGGGTGATGAATGGGTATCTGAAGAATTGCACGTGATCTTGAAAGGATGCCCAAGGAATAGCCAGCGTTGAAGGGGTTGTTCCCCCTAACACCCCCCCCCACCGCACGGTTGTTGCCAGAAATGAGGCCTGTCTTTTCAGAGGGACCGTCTGTCTTACATTTGCCTAAGCCCCCTGGAAAAATCGAAAACATCTGCAGCAGCGATAGATTCCGTTTAGAATAAAAACAATCAAAGCAAGAGCTACTCTTGAGCCAGTGGAAGTTGTTTGTGGTCACATGGACGCATCCAAAGCATCGGTTCATTTCGAGACCCATCCGAGTGAGATACCGCTGGCCAGCTGGCCTCCGAGATCAAAGCTGTGCACATCTGAACCTGAAAGCTCGAAGCCTGGGGTGTGGGGCTACCATTCCTTTTCTCACGTCCGATCGAGTCTGGCTTGGCGCCAAAAAAAAAGCTCCCAAACGGTTTGGCTTACCACTAAAATGGGTCCAAACCCAAAAAGTGACTAAAGTCCACGAACTCAGGAAGTGAGCTTTTTAGGGTTGCCTCAGAGGGATACAAAAAAGACAACTACCATTTGTTGGGTCCCCTCCATTTTGGAGTCAAGCCTAAGTCTTTTTGAAACTGCCCCCCATACTTATATTCTGCCTTGGACAAGTTGCTTGCTTGAAGAGAAACTTTGGGTTGCAGAATGGAAGCACGATCTGCGCAGCTCGGTGCAGATTACTATAGTCTAGGTCCTCCAGTAGAGAGGTTAGAATAAGGGTACCAACTTTTTTCGGTAGTCTATTGTAGTAGGGGAACCTCCCAACCAAAAAGGGGGAGAGAAAGGGCACCGACCTAGTTCACAAGGTGTGAATTTCAATACGGGAGCCTTTGGCTGACATCATTTAGCTGGAGATTCATGTCCACCAACCACTTGTGAGGTGGTGTCCTATTAAAATTTGTATCCACATCTCAGTTGTTCAGTGACCCTGGAAAAGAAGGGGAACCCTTTTTCGGGAAGACCATTTTTAGTGGGGCAGCCACCAAAAAAAAAGGAAAAAGGGTGCCACTGAACAACTGAGACTTTCGGTGAAACTGGGCACAAGCCGCCACGAATCACCCCAGAGACTATTGGGCAGACACCCAATGGCTTTCAGCTGTAAAAAAGAGTAAATGATTCCCTCAAAGATGCGTCACTGCCGCGATTAATCAACCGGTTTATGACTAGGCCTTTATGAACCATGGAAAAGCCAAAAGGTCATTTCAGGGTTGGCTTTGGACACCCCCTCCAGAAAAGGAAAGAAGGACGCAACCCACTGGGTGTTTGGTCCCATTAATTTGGTACCCTCATTCCTCCAGTTGCTTAAGTCTCCTGAAAAAAAACAAATAAACAAAATCCAGTAGTGAAATCGATTCCCCTAAAGACCCAGCGTGGAAACTCAAAAACCACATCTTCATTTCAGCGAATGGGTCAAAATTAAACGACCAGGAGACGGCAGGGTTTTAGTCATTGGCTCTATTGACCAGGGCAAGCCGTTTTGGGGTGACCCGTTTTTTGGACCCCACCGCTGTAACTCACTTGCCCAAAGGACCCAGAAATAAAAACTTAACCCAAGGACCCGGAAAACCCAAAGGTCAAAAGGTCGATTCGCTTTGGGCAACTGAGGCAAAGAACATCCAAACAGGGGTCCCCTCTTTGACCATTCTGATGGCTCATTCTGATGGCTCACCTCGTTGCTTTGAGGCTCTGAGGCCTCGGACCACCGGCCACATGGTGCTGTCGGAGATCACGAAGTCACGCAGCGGCTGAAGGCAAAGTAACGCCAAGGCGGTCGCCTGGAGACGTTTTGGCTAACCCCAAGCCGTGGAGATCGACCCACCCTTTTTTATCTATTTTTTTGGGGGGGAGGTCCTTGTGGTTGGTTTGAAGGGAAGCCAAAAGGAGCATCATCTCTTCTTCTTCCTCTTCTTCTTCTTCTTCTTCTTCTTCTTCTTTTTCTTCTTCTTCTTCTTCTTCTGCTTCTGCTTCTTTCTTTGGGAGGGGGCAGGAAGGTCCCCAAAAAAGCCACCCCGTGCGGGCTTTGGAGGTATGGTGTTTGTTTTTGTGTTTCCTCAATCTGAGCTTGTATATCAGCCCCTTGTCTAATTTGTTTTTTTCTCCATGCCTCCCCATGATGTAGCAGGCTGAATAATTGCAGGCTTGATGTTCATGGTTTCGCAACCCCCCATTCCAATTATTTGGGCCCTCATACTCTGGAAGAACGAACATCCACTTCGCGCCACTTTGAAACCATGGAAAACCATTTCTTGTTGGTCCTTCCAGGGGAAGCACCATTCCAGCGTTTCTTCAGTGGTGCAGGAATTCGACCATCCGCAGGGCTTGTTTCTTGTCGGCCTTTTTGTTCGGGGCTCCCCTCAAAAGTGGCAGTTGAGTGGCGGGTTGGTCTTTACAGAGAATCATTTCTTGGGCTTACACCCTTGTTCGGGGGTCACTGGATATCCCTTCACAACTGGCAGTGTACTGGTGGGTTCCTGTAAAAACAAAATCAACTTTTGGGTTCCACGAACAAAAAGCCACCTTTGAATGTCCAAAGGGTGCTTCAGGGACTGTTCGGAGGCCACCTGAGAGCGAAAGCAAGTCCGGAAGCCAACCCCAGCCTGAGCATTGCCGGACCTGGCCAGGAAATGCCCCCGGGTCTCTTAAACATAGCCCCACCCTCGGTGGCCGCCTTCCTGAATCAGGCCAAAAAAGGGTAGCGTCCAAAACAAGACCCACCCATGTCATGTTTTGGGGCTCCGCATGTTCTTGATGAGCTGCATCTCTTCAATGTACGCACCGTTTGCATGGATGACGATTTGCCATTTACGCAGAGAGTTGGATATTGTGAACAAGGAAGACATTAAGGAGCTAACCCGGTGCGGGCGAGCGACTATTTCCAGGTGTAGGTGTTGGAGGTATGAAGGTTACATTTCGCTTTAAGGGGTATATACTGCATTACCAGCTTGTATTGGTGGTAAGTGAGGATTCATACCTCCAAAACCCATCCATAGAAACACCCCTGACAAATCCAACTGTTTGCAAGCACTGCTTGACTCTGCCATTTGGGTGTCAAAGTGGGGTTCCGGAGCCCACGACATGTTGTTCTTTGCCTCCCTTGAAACTAAGGTGAAAAGGGCACCCTCGAGAAGAGAGCGTGCGCGCACACGTATTATCGCTTGCCAAAAAATCCGCTTCGCAGCAATTGGCATAGATGACACAATATCTGGGGTCCTGGAAGACCATTCTCCGTTGGTTCCATGGAGAGGCCCTGAAAAAGCAAAACACGCCCATTGAAGTGAGTTGATGTTCAATTAGGAAGCCTTTGGACCAAAAATTATGTCAACTGAGCAATCCCACTAAAATGGTATTCCCAAAAAGAAGATGGAATTGTTTTCTTGCATTTTTTGTGGACATCATTTTCGTGGGGATTTATGTCCACCAGCCACTTTTAGGGGGGTCCAACCATTAACGTTCACCGTCTAAAAAGTGCAGAGACTGGCAAAACGCGAACTGCGCTGCCCGTTTTCCAAACCCCGCCAATTTCAGTGCATGCCTTGTGGGATAAATGGAAACCCAGCCACTGAGCTAAACCAAATAAGAACCACTAAACACCCTAGGGAACCGGATGGCTTGCCACCAAGTGACATGGTCCCGCCAATTCCATATCTTTTCCAGGGGAAAGATCTGGAATACGTGTGTCATAGTTTGTCTGTTTGTTTGTATATATATACATATATATATATATATATATTAACAAAAATGAACATAATTGTATGTCACATGTGGTTGTGTCTTGGTTGATATGTTGAGGTGGTTCCACGCATTCGAGGCTCCAAAACTTCTGCACGCGTCTCCTCTGCCCGTTTCCACGCCGGTTGCAGCCTTGGCTCTTCGCGCAGCACTCCGCTCTGTAGCACCGCCTCCATACCTCGGCTTTACGGAGTAACTTCTCATGTCCGATCGAGTCTCAGTTGCCCAACATCGTCATCAGGTCGCCATTTGAGTCACAATCAAAAACCAGTGTTAAATTGGTCGTAAATCCAGAACCAAGCTTCAAGAATTAAGAAGGCGGCCGAAGCTATTTATGGTTGGGACATACTAACCTTCGTCTACCCTGGCTTTGATTGTGGCTCATTTGTCGCAAATTCTACAACTCCAAAACCTGCAATGCGGACTGAGGGATTTGCGAGCAAAGGGCCTTCATAGTAGGCTCGTTGCAAAGACAACATCTCATCACTTGCTCAAAGGGTCCTGGAAATTCAAGGTGCTCACCGGTTAAAAGGTCGGTTTTGGGCAAGTGAGTGGATGGCAACCAAGAAAGCTCCCAAACGGTTTGTTTGCCACTAGAATGGTCCAAACCCAAAAAGTGACTAAAGTCCGAAACGGAACTCAGGAAGTGAGAGTTGTTGATTGATTTCATTTCACTTGTTTTGGCGGGGGGCCCTCTACAAGAAGCAAACAAATCCCCAAACCACCAACTATCACCTGAAGTGTCCACCTGAACCGCTTAACCAAACAGATCCAGGAGACATCCCAAGAGCACTTTGGTTGGATGCGAGCGCTTTGCAAGCTTCTTTCTTTTAGACATCAGTTTAAAGGGACACCAAAACTGGGCTGTCCGTGTTCAGATCCCCTGCTAACAGTGTTTAACGTGTGGGTTACATAGAAACTACCGCTAAACAAACCAAACAAAAAAATGAAAACCTAAGGGGATGGCTGGGAACCATCAAGGAAAGGCTGAGCATTTGTCTAAGGGCCCCCCATCTTGACACATACCGGGCCAGGTAAACGCACCCTCGCTTGAAACTGGTTCCCCATTTGGCTTCCAAAGGAATCCAAGTCCGAGCCACCAATCCAAGCCGCGGGGGTCCCTAAAGCCGCGTTCCGAGGACTTTTCGGAGCAAAGAAACACCGTCAACAGACCCCCAAGTCCCCGATGGCCAGGTTTGTCGGGAGCCCGACGCCCTGACTTGTGCAGCGCCTGGAATTCGGCGAGATCAAGAATCAGAGCGCTCCCGAGCGAGACCCCTGGGAATTAGCGCCTGGCTTGACGCAGAACAACTGAGATTGTTTTTAGGGTAAAGTGTCTGGAAAAAGGCGAACGCAACTTAAAGTTCCCCGCAAGGAACCGAATCTCCGGAGACCGAGTTGCCACCAGAGCTGATTGCAAAGCCATCTCACTTCCTGCGTAGGTTGCCCAAAACAAGCCCCCAAACTTTTAACTTACCATGCAATTTGCAGCTCAAAGTTCTTTTGTACGGAAACCAACTCTATAGGAGGTCATTTGGGTTTGTCTCAGAATCTGGACACCCCAAGATGACCTTTTGGTCTCCTTTTGGTTTCCTTGCAAACCCACTCCAGAACAAGGGGAGCCCTTCCAAAAAGACGCCCTGTTGTTCGGCCAGGCTAGCAAGCTGTTTGTTAGTCTCCCGTTCATCTGGTGAACCCTGCTAGTGGATTCGGGTCGTGGCTAGCACCTTCCCTTTTTGGCCGAACACCCACTTGCATTTGCTTCAGTCCCCTGTTAAAAAAAAACAAAAAAAACATATGTCCAGTAGTGATAGATTCCCCCTTTAAAACCGACAAGAAAAAAGACAAATACTCATTTGAAAATGGAAGTCCAAGGCGAACAGAACATCCCCAAGTACCTACTACACCTGGATGGTACGTTTTGTTGAAAGGTTGGACCCCCAAAACGGCGGGCAGCGACTTGTTCCTTTTGGTTCTAACCTTGGGCACAACGGTTAGGGGTACCGCCTGCGATGATGTTTGCGGAGCGGCGCTTGTGACCCCACAGTGGAGGGATTGCTCGGACCATTGGGAAGCTCGCTTTTCTTCCATTTGCGGATACGCCCACTGGACAAAATAACGTATCTCCAGCAGTGAAATAGATTCCCACTAAAACCAACAAGGGAGAAGCAAAAAAACACACACACAATATACACACACACACACAAACATATTCCTTGCCGCCAATGGACGTGTGTCTGCGGGTCGCCCGTCACAACTCAAAGGGAGAAGTACCGTCCTCCCCACCGCCCGCCCCGTTTTCGGCGGTTTCCCGCGCGAAAAACGCGCGGCGACGCGCCGCCCGCGACCGGCGACCGCCGCAAGCGGCGGCCCGACAGCGGCGCCTCCAAAAAGCCCAGCAGCTCGCGGGCGCGGTCCATGGCCTCCAGCAGCTGCGCCACCGCCCTGGGCCGTCGAGGCGCGGAAGTTGAGAAAAACAAAAAAAAAAACGCGCCGGGCGCTTTTGGGCGCGGATTCTGTTTTTTGTTGTTTTTGTTTTTTGTTTCCCCGGTCTCAGGCACCTGCTCCAAGTCCTTTAAAGGAAAGCCGGAAGCAAGGATATTTAGACTAAAAGCAAGGTTCTTTAAACCACCTGGGGCGGGGATCTGAGGCCAACTACCCCCAAAAAAGGGGGGAGGGGGGGTGAGTTAGTTAGTCTCAAACCGAGGAGCCCAGAACTGCTGAGCGGAGACCGCAAAGTTGGGTCCCCCGATTTCGACAACTCCATCTGCTCCTTTCGCCCCCCGATCTCGACAGGTAAAGGCGCAGCGAAGCAAAAGGTTCACTCAGTAAAGTAACGAACAGAACCCAGAGAGCGGGGGTCCAATCCTGAGGAGATTTCTCAAATGGGTGGATTCCTACGGGTGATTCTTTGGGTTCCACGGACATCTGCACAGATACTATCGTCCAAAAGAGTTGGTCACAGTAAAGACCATTCATAACTTTCATGTCTGAGTAGGCGTCCTTTTTTGAGAGTACCCCTTTTTTGGTAGCTTTAAAAGGACACCCAAAGAAAAACCGTTCATGTTGAGGTTTGTTTTGTTTCTTATTTTTTTCCCTTGGGGGGCGGGGGGGCGGGATACCCTAAAAAGAGACACACCCATATTCATCGTGTCCTCCTACGTGGGAACTGCCACTTCCTTATGGCAATTTGCCGCGTGCCTCCTTGACGGCTGCTCGGGCAGGAAGTATATCATTCATTCAAGCTGCTGATGTTGATCCCGGATAAACAAACCCGTCCTATGAATAGAAGGTTCCCCTCCAAAAGTGAGGAATACCCACTAAAAGGGGGCACAAATTCTATTCATCAACCCAGGGTTTATTAAATCCCCGGTCAGCATTGTGACTAAAACATTGTCAAAGTATGTCCATCCGAAACGTCAACCAGATGATGATTCAACATTCGAGACTGGGTCAAGGAAGCGGCGCTGAGATCGCCCGTCCAAAGTCTTTGAACTCAATCCCCATATAGTCAAAGGACCTCTCCACTTGGGGTTATCAGGGATGGTCATCCACCTAGTAGTAAGGATCCTGAAGAACCATTGTTGTGATTCGTTCTCGCGCGAAAAAGCCGCCGAGCGCGCCTCCCTACCCGTACCTTGGCCGAGCTGTCGCTTGCGGCCTGCACTGAGCGGTCATCGAGCGGTCATCGAGCGTATGCATGTGCGCATGCAGATGCGTGTGTGTGTGTGTGTACATGATGATGTATGTGCGTATGTGCATAAATATAGGCCTGTCTTTTTTGAAGGGTACTCTGGGTTGTAGCTTTTCAGTGTGAAACCAAAAGCAAACAAACACTACTCTTGTTTTGTGTTTCTTTATGCCTTTTCTTGTTGTTTCCATTTATTTATTTAATTTGGGGGGGTCCCCTCAAAATGACACACCCACATGTATGCGTGTGTAACGTGCATAATATGTATATATATATATATATATTGATGTATGTACATATATATATATATATATAGTAATGTATGTGACGAGTTTATGTACGAGTTGTGTGTGCGTGTATGCGTATACACATGCGCATGTGTATGTGAAGGTGTCTGTGTGTGTATGTTTGTATGCGTTTGTGCATGTGTATGCACTGTGTTCTCCGTATGTGTATGTCCGTATGAATGGTGCATGTGTCTATGTCTGTGTCTGTGTAGGTATGCTTGTGCGTCGGCGTGTGCATGTGCATGTGCATGTGTGGGTGCGTGTAACTTCAAGCATGCCGTGTTTCTGCGTTCATGTATCTGTGTATGTGTGCTGTCTGCGTCTGCGTCTCTATGTGCTGCAGGTGTCCTCGGTTCCAAACTTGGTCAAGGCCATAGCTTCTGTTTCATTGTGGTACCAACTTTTTTCTGTAGTCTGTTTTAGTAGGGGAACCCCTGCCCCAAAGGGGAACTGCTGGGGGACCTTGGTGAAGCATTTCCTGTAGATGCCGGCTCGGCACCTTGACTAGTTGAAGCTACCAGCCCAGAACGCTCCGCCCAGTGGCAGCATGGATGAAGTTTCCATGGTGACCCCTTTGGGTTCTAAGAAGAACTCGCTTGCCCACAGGACCCAGAAATAAAAGGTTAACCTTTTGGCACCTCCACTAAAAATGGGCCAACACGGGAAAACCAAAAGGTCAAAAGGTCGGCTTTGGGCAACTGAGAGAATGGGTACCTTTCCCATGCTACACGCATTGTCCTAGCGATCGGAACCTGTTCGGAGCCCGTCAGGTCCGGGTCCCGATCCAGGGCCATGCAAGAAGCGTCCTATAGATAGGGTGTTCCAATCCGACCGTGATGCTTCCCCACCTCACCCAGAACCCCTCTACTCACTTCCTGAGTTGATGAGCCAGCAAAAAGTCCAAACTGCTGTTTTTTATTTCCGCTAGAATGGTCTGCGCCACAAAGTTTAATGTCCAGGAACTCAGGGAGTGAGTGCATTAATAAACTGGGGTTGATTCATCGGGGTTCTCATGGCAACACAAGTTCGGCTGGCTCCCCCAAATTGGCCGTTTGAATTGGGTGGAACGTCTTCCGGGGGTGATTAACCCCATTACCCTCTCCAAGAGCCAAGGGTTCAAACCAACCGCCAATCCAAACCACCAACTAGGGGTTAACTAACTTGCAAAAAACAAGTTGCTGATTATCGGATCGCACCCAAGCAAACCTCAAGGACAACACTCAAACATGACTCAATGTTAGCAGCATTTTGTTGAGGGCACCCTTCTTGCGATTGGCTTAACGGGGACCCATTTAGCACTTTCGCCCCCAAAGCACCTTGGGAACCGCAGAACCGGAGCAAGAAGAGTCAACTAATGTACAATAGTCTGACACAAATTCTATAAAACTCTTTGCGAAGCCATGGCTCATTGCTTGGCAATGTGGCTCAATGGAAGCAACTAATCAAATGGGGGCCAACATAGAGTTGAGGACTTGGGTTGCACGGTGAAAATGGCAAACCTTCACAGGAAGTGGCTACAATCTGGCCACGCAATGATTCCCAAACTGAAGACAAGGGAACCAATAGTAAAGGAGCTTCACATGTGAGCTCGTTATACCCCCCAGTGAGCTCATTGTGATTTACGCAGAATCAGAGAGTTCCTTTTTCAGGATACATGTTGGCCAAGCTCAAAAACAATCTACAAAAGTTGTTCTGAAATAGGGAAAACACAAAGGTCAATCGGCGTTGGGCAAACCAAGGCTACGACCATCAGGAACAGTTGGCAGTAAATACTGCCTGTTTTTTTTTCCGGGTTTCTACGTGGGTGACCTCAAAAAGAGGGAATCTAAAATGGCAACGGCTTCCTTTTGGGTGTCCCTTTAAATACCAACAAAAAGGAGCCTTCCCACTAATTTGGGACATTCCCACCTTCATCCCGGACAGAGCCCTGGAAAACAAACAAAACGGTTTGACAACAGGGGAAGGTCAAACAGCATACTGTGGATGGTTGCGAAATCATGGTTCAAACCATGATTTCGCACCCAATTTGGAAACCATGGTTGAAACCAGTGACGGCATTTACCGAAAACCCGAATCATGCCAGGGTTCCCAGGTATTGCAGGATTTTGTCCATCCACCGTATGTTTGCTTCCCCCTCTTTTTAAAAGGGACCCATCGCCCGGGTGTCTGAGTTCGGTGGTGCGTTTTATGGATTTCGCATCCATCCACAGTCTTCACGGAGCCTCCGCGCGGTGCACGTAGAGCCGGGAACGCTCCACCACAGAGCTTGGCGCCACCTGCCGGGAACCCTTGGCTTACCCAGGACTCTGAACATGTGCTTCAAAAAAGAAAACTAGGTCCTCCAGATTTGAGAGGTTAGAATACGGGTACCATTTTGTTTCTTGAGTGTTGCTTATTTTAGTCGGGGAACCCTCCCCCACAACGGGTAAAAGGGAACTACTGGGGGCCCTAGGAAAAAAACATCGTACTCCGCTTCATATTTAGTCTATGTTACGCATACGTGGGTCTGCTTACACTTGCTTTTTCGCGTCCTGGGAAACTGTCGAGCAAAAAATGTCCAGTAGTGAAATCGATCCCTTTGAAACCAGGGGAACGCAAAAACTATTCATTTCAGCACATGAAAGTTGTCAAAATTTGTGGCACATCTGCACTTCAATCACCAAAAATCGGACCTTCCTGAAGACTCATTCTCCGGCCTGTTCTTAGGCGTTTTGGTTTCCTGGTAGTTTTAAGTGTGTTGGGCGCTCTAAATGGTTTCCAGGAGTTTTGGGCGACCCCCGAGCCAAAAAAAAGAGAGCCTGATTTGTGGGCATATGCGGGGGGTTGTGGGCGTTTGCGGGCTTTTAGCGGGCGTTTTGCGGGTAATTCTGGGCGGGGAAAACGTAACAAGGGACCGATTCTGAAATCTCACGAACGTATGAGTTTTAGTAGTGTTAGGCGACTTCACGAAAAAAACACATCGAGATTTAGGAAAAGCAAGTTTAAAGACGAGAACTACCTGGAAATTCATGGAGAATGAATCTCCAGGTTGCAGAATGAATCTCCAGGTTGCTTCATGTTTAGTCTATGCTATACATGTTCCCACCCCCGTCCCCCTGTGGGGTGTGGTTTGGGGTTGGTTTAAGGTTGAATTCAGGTTCGTTTAGGGTTAGTGTTTTAGGGTTGGGTTCAGGGTTGGTTTAGGGTTGGCTTTGGGGATGGTTGCGGGTTGAGTTGCCCTACGTGTCGGAATGCAAGAGTGCGAGTTCAGGTGCTGGCAGTGAGTGCAAGTGGCTGCTTGTTGCAGCAAATACCACAACATACCACTCCGCGGCGTGGTTGGTGCTCCCTGCCCGCTTTCCACGATGAGTCGGAACCCAACCTGGGTCCCAATTTCGTGGCGGCATGCAACAGCGCGCCGCTTGTGCGCCGGAGTCGGGTGGAAGCAGGGTGAAGTACTTTGGGGTTCCGCCTTCTTGGTTCAGTGAGTTTCTTTCATCCGTTTCTCTTCTTTTTCGGGGACAAGAAAGCCCCCCCGCTCCGACTTCCTAAACATGGTTCTGGGCCGTAGACCCCACCCCCCTCCCTCTCTGAGATGGGGTGGGGGGTGGGCGGGGGTGGGGTTGGTTGGGGTGTGGTTTGGGGTTGGCGCAGAGTTGGTTTAGGGTTGGTTTAGGGTTGGTTTAAGGTTCGTTTAAGGTTGGTTTTGCCAATAGGACCGAACCGTAGGAAGCTGTGCGAGACACATGTTGCAAGGGCATTGCTTCAATACAGGGCCTTGATATGAGGGTGTTTTTTTTTCCCCCCGAGGGTACCTTTTTGGGGATTGAAGGGAAAGCAGAGGGAAATCACCCGAAGGGGGGGCCTTTAGAGACAAACCCATATTTCAGCCCTTTCTCTGCACGGGCAGCGGTGGGTTCCCTGACACAGACGAGAAAAAACCAGAGGCAACGGTACTCTCAAGGCGAGGTGGGCGATTGTCGGTTTGGAGGATAGCCTTTTGTTCGACGTGAAGGGAGACCTCCGTGTTAGATATCGTTTGGGAGATCCCTGCTAATGTTTCAGAATCCGATGCTTCTGCACCACCTGTTGGTGGTTTTAAAGGGAACCCAAAAAGGAAACCGAAATCCATTTGAGGGGTCCCGAAGAAAACACACACACACACACACACAGATCACTTGTTGCTTGAAGGGAAACAAAAAGCTAAGTCTGGCAACGTCCGAAGTCCAACAGTAGTCGCACAAAGCTGTGCAGCAACAAGATTCTTGAGATTTCCCCCTTAAACATCACCAAAAGGAAAGTCACTTTAGACTGGCGACCCAACGCTGATGTTTAAACCACCAAATTAAAGGGAAACTTGAGCCGCTGCGGTGAATGATGGGGTTCCCCCCCTCCCAAAAAACAAGTCCTTTAGGCCAAACTTTAGGCATCCTTCCCCTTGAGCCAAAAGGGATGTCCCGAGAAAAAATATACAAAAAACAAACACCATCAAACACCTCCGGCTGAGCTGACAGAAAGTCCAGCTAGGCCATCGGAAGAGGGGCAGCCCTCACTCCAATCCCATCTATGCGTTCCCGGTTGGTATCTTCGAGCAGTTCTCGTGGAGAAAAGACGAATTGAGTGTGGGCTTTCCGCTAAGTCAATCCTTGATTCAGTACACCCCCGGATATGAATCAGGGCGTTAATCCCTACTGAAACAGATCCCTCCCCCGCCCCCGCCCCCCCCCCCCCCCATTTTTGCATAATTAGCATAGAACCCGACAAAACTCTTAGGCAAAACTTTACGGGGGATCCTCTTTCTGGCGCCATGAATTCACAAACAAGTCACCCCCCTAGGCAAATGTTCGAGGAGAACCACCCAGTTTCTGACCTGAACCCCCGCACAACAGTCAAAACGATGACCCCAGCTTTGGTTGTGTTTTCCGGGGTTCTCATGCTTACCCCTTAAAACTCCAAGCCCTGGGGAAGTTTTCATCTTTTACAGACATCTAGCCCATGCTACCCAAGAAGTTGAGAAAAGTTGTGTTTTTAAGAGGTTCTCATGTCACTTTGCAGCCTCCAGCCACCCTTCCTTTGGCTTCAGCCGCGCGCGCCTGCGCGCTGCAGGCGTCTCTGGAGAGCCCCTAGCGCGAAAGGGTGTTATGGGAAGCCAGCCTAAACCAACCCAAAGTCAAGGGTGTTGCGGTGAATTCTCAAAGGACAAACATGGAAAGACCTTTTTGGTGGATTCCCACATCAAAATGGGAAAATGGAAAACTAGATTATTGTCTCACTGCCTGAGTGGATGGCCCCAAAAAAAGTAACCAAGCTTTATATGTACCACTAAAAATGGGCCCAAACCCAAAAAGCTTAAAGTTCATGAACTCAGGAAGTCAGATAAACTGAGTCACTGGGCTGTCCGTGTCCTCAGATTCCTTCTAAGAGTAACTACCTCACTTTTAGTGGGTTAAATGCAAACCCAACGACTAAATTAACTAAGAACAACCAAACACATAAGGGGACGGCTGGGAACCCCCAAGTAAACTAGGAATGGGTGTGTATAAGATGGGTTTTCTTTTTGCGTTCACGCTAAGATAAGCCAAACAAGAGGAACCCCGAAAAGCACACAGACACACACACACAGACAAAGACACAAACAGAGGTAGAGACACAGACACACCCACACAGGCAAGCATGGACAGAGACAAACATCGACACAAGTAGAAACAGAGAGAGAGAGAGAGAGAGAGAGTGAGAGTGAGAGAGACACAAACGCAGACAGAAACACGGATACAGAACTCGGCACAGGCACAAACATAAACACAGAGACACACAGAGGCACACATAGACACACAGAGACACACAGAGAGATACAGAGATACACAGAGATACACAAAGACATGGGCTTCTCTCTAAACAGCCTAACTTTTAGTGGGTTAAATGGAAACCCCCACTAAACCCTAAAAAGCTAAAAGACTAAGGTCCGGATGGCTGGCAGCCACCAAGGGGCATGGGCGACCCTGTCCTTTGGCTTCCGCTTCAACCAACCTAAAACAAGACCCGCACAGCTGCCCCGGCCGCACAGCTGGCCTCCCTGGCGTATTGGATCACCGGCTGCAGCTCAGTGGAGATCTTGCGAGCCAAAGCCTCGCCTCAGGGTTCGGCTCGTCAATTTCGGTATGGCTTAACAAAAACAGGACCCCTCAAAATGGTGGGTTGTCCTTTTGGTTTCCCCTTAAAACTACCAACAAAGGGGTCCTCGAAAAAAAGAGACGAATTTGCGTATGGGGGTTGCGAGTACTGAGCCTCCCCAAATAAAATGGCCGAAACTGCTTTGCGACTTCCTCACCCAACTTTCTGGTTCCAAATCACGTGGTATCGGGATCCCGAGTTGAACACCACAAGGCGAACCGACCAGACTGATCCGGCCCCGTGAAAAGAGCAATCACTTGTGAGGTAAAATGATGGAAACACAAAGAGGCCAAAGGCATGGTTGAGTTTGGGGCCATTCCAACTCATTCCCTGAGAGCCAGCAAGCAACCACTGCTTTTTGCACAGAACCAGCGCAGGGGGGGTTGCCGGGGTTCGTATACATTCACCTGAACGCAAACTAGATGTCGACTTCCACTTGCTCTGGCGGAAATGATATCATTTGACGAGCACTTGGGACATGCGAAAGCAGCCGTTGGGCGCTGGGGGAAATCAACTGAGGTCTGTCATACCCCCGGCCCCCTGCCCCAGATAAAATGTATCAGTCTTAGGCGGTCTTTAGTAGTCTGAGCCTTCAGATTTTCCAGAGTTTTGGAAGGACTTCAACGTGCTTCCTGAAATGGTTGTCTTGTTAATCCAAAAAACATACTTTTGGGTTTCCTTGTTGTTGGGATCAAAGGTGAATGATGCTAGGAATTTCATACTATAATGCAACACACCTGGTGATTTTAAGAAATAACAAATGGCAAATGTACAGACTATATCCAAACTGGTTCACCGTGAGACTGAGCCAAAGGTGAAATTCGGAATCATACCCCTCCGCCATGTTGACCAAACTACTGCCACTCATGGCGCTGACGGTAACTCTCTCCTCATGGTGTCCTGCCAAGGTTTCTTTTCTTTTCTGCCTTAGTCATATGGGGCTTCTGCCAGGTGCCTAGTATACTCCGACTCAGGTGGCTGTCTGCTCACCTTCTGGCATTTGAGACTATAACAGCTCACATGGAATGCATTTGCTCGACACGGGGCCGAATCATTTGCGTTCATCGTCATAGTCCGGTTGCTTCCAGGGCTTGTCTTTTGACCCCGCGAACCCGAGTCCCCAGCTTCTTTTGAGTGACCGTTCTGTTTTTTTGGATTCAACTCACTTTTCGGGAAAGAGGTCACGTAGCTGAATTTTAACAGGTCACTTAAGCGAGATTAAGGCCACTTTGGCTACAAGAGCCTGCTCCCTGAATGCTTCCCGAGGCAGCCACCGATTGTGAGGACAGACGACGCCGAGCATCTGCGAGGGAGCCACCGTCGCTGGCTCGTCCGCAAACATGAGAGTACAATCGCTGCGTGTATGGTCGATTTAGGCCCAAGCACATCGGCAATTGATGGCCCTGGATAATGGCATAAAGACCAATCCAAACCAGTGCCATTCAGTTCTAGCCAAAAGAGACACCGATGCCCAAGCAGCAAACATTCTGATCTACCGGATTGTGTCCCCTGCTACACAGCGGGAATGGTTCCTTCCAACTTGTTCAGCGCGAGCAGCATCTATAGGACTTGTGAGTCGCTCCTGTTTAATCGTAAACTGGGGCTCGTGTACCTCATGTCATCCCGTTACAGTAGACAGTAGATATTGACCGCGAATGTTGACCCCAGAAAAATCAACCCCAGTTCACTAATAGGGGGGTGTCCCTAGGTTTAGTGGGGAATCGTCGCTTTAGAGGGGCCCGCTTCCCCCCTATTAATAGGACGGGTTTATTAATCCGGGGTCAATTCTCATATCCCTGCAACCCCATACGTTGATTTGGTCCAAGAGGGCGCTCCACAGGTCTCGGATACCCCACTTCTACATGTGAGGCAGTGAGCATATATGCACACAACGCATGTGGGGAGAACTATATCTGCGATGCCATGGGTCATATGACAACTGTATCACTTTGAAGGGGATCCCAGAAAGTTTCGCGGAAGTGGCTACTGAAACCAAATGGGTATAATATATGTGACAAAATAGGGGGCCCCCAAAATAGAGTATTTTTTGTTGGTGTTTCTTTGATCCGCGGCGAAAAGGATACTCCCGGTCCAAAAGCACATAATATCACATGCATGTATATATATACACACGTTGTACACATGAATATATGTGTATATATGTATATATACATATATAAATATACATGCATATACATATACATATCCAGATTTTTTTTCCGAACCACGCGCAATCTGCCGATGCCTTCGCCGCTTGCTGCAGAAGCCAAGCACGGAGGCTACATCCACCGCTACGGCCTCAAGCAATGGAACTCTGGTTCTTTTCCATCTGAAGCCACCAGCTTTGGGGGGGGGGTCGTACATATATATATATATATAATATACATATCAGAGGGTCCTAAGCACCGCATATTTACGGCTTTGGGTTTGGTTCAAGGGGATTCGCCAATTACAGAATCCTCAAATCCGCAAATATGAGGTACTTGGACCCTCTGGGTTGTTTAAGGCAGTATGTCCAGTAGTGATAAAGTCCCTTTGAAACCAACGGGGGGAAATAACCAACATTCTTAAGCAACTGGAAGTTCTTCTTGGGCCAAACTGGGCGTCCTTTTGATGGCCCTTTGAAACAGCCAAACAAAATACAAAGTCCCCCCCAAACAAAGACACACACACACACCCACCCACCCATGCGAAATTTGATCAATATTCCGTTCGGCCCGCAAATGACCACACACCCTGGGCTTCCGTTTGGTTGCCCTTTCCGGCCGCAGGGTCTAAGCTCAAGTCGCCTGGGGCCGCACATGGAAAAATGGAGTAGTCGCTACGGGTCGTGCCAACATCGGGGAAGACCAAGCTGGGTGGTTTCCTTTTGGTGTCCCTTCGAAACAACAAAAATACGGGTCCTCCAGAAAAGACAAACTCATATCTGGACAAGGAGGTCATCAGTCGAAACCTTCGAGCCTTGGGGGGGGGGTCCTTACAGCTTCCGGCACCCGACAAACAATAAGATAGATGATCTAGCAGGATCAACTCAGCCAACTGTCAGCCAACTAGTTCCAAGAAGTCACTGCCCTGGCGTTTTTGGGTGGCCACGCCTGAAGTAACAGTGATATTCAACAATGCAATGCTAGCAGTGGAGCCACAAACCTACAGACCCGTGAAGCATTTCACGAAGCAAGCCAGCCAAGCCAGCCAAGCCAAGCCGGCAAGCAAAATGAACCAAGCCTGGTGCATAGGTGTCCTTGTGGTTAAAAATAGATGGATTTGCCTGGTAGAGTACAAAACAGCCAGGTCAACCAGGACTCGCCATCTATTTTCTGCCGAAAGAACCAAGGACCCCTGTGGCCTGGTCCTTGCCCCTTTCAATGAGTTGCTTGCATTTGACGTTGATGGCCATCTCAAGTAGCCACCCAAACCACCCACCCAAACTACCCCCCCCACCCACCCCCAACCACCCCCACCCGCTGTACACCTCCCCCCCATACTCTGCCCCTACACACCCAAACCCTCCACTCCCTCCACCCTAGGTCCGCCAGTATAAAGGTTAGAATAAGGGTACCCATTTTTTTCTGTAGTCTATTTGAGTAGGCCCAAAAAAGGGGAGAGCAGGGCCTACTGGGACCTAGCCCCTCCCCCCCCGCCTGTCGCTGCACTAAACGCTGCGCCCAGACCTCCCGAAGTTGCAGCGCCAGGAACTGCAGGAGGCCCAGGGCCCACCGCCCTGGACCGGATGTTGCGTCGATGGTCGGGGGAGTTGGGGGTGGGTTGGGGGTGCCTTGGGGGGTGGGTGGTTGGGGTGGGGTGGGGTGGTTGGGGTGGGGGTGGGGTGGTTGGGGTGGGGTGATTGGAGTGGGGTGGTTGGGGTGGGGTGGTTGGGGGTGGGGGGGCAGAGAGGCTGCTGGTGGTGATGGGTGGTGGGGTGGTTGGGGGTGATGAAGCCTCCTGTCCAGTTGCACGGAATACCACATTTGCGGGTTCATGTGTTTCGACAGCTACCTTCTCTCTTGCCGCTGAACCATGTAATGTGATACATTGTGAATCAAGCAGAGTGAAGCTACCTGAAGTTTCTCGTCGTGAGTCCGTCGGCTTTGTTTCTTCAACATGCCCTGTTCTATTGCAAGCAGGTATCGGCAAACAATGAGGTGCATATATATATATATATATACATATACACACTTGTACGTTTGCGCAACTTAGGCTGGCAAGCACGTCGATACTTCTGGATTGTTATGCATGTTTACAGATTTGCGGTCTGCAGGTATACAGGCGTGTATATAGATGGTATGAGTACGATGCATGCTGCACAGGCGCACATACACATAGCCACAGGTTGATTGGAGCTGCTGACTGACACTTGTTGATTGGCGCACATAAAATGTCTGATACACATCTGCAGTTACACCTTGCCACAGGAACTGCAGGAACCAATAACCAAAATAAGGTTAACCCCGGATTAATCAACCCCTGGTTGATTAATAGGGGGGTGTCCCGTTGTAGTGGGGATTCATCACTTTTGGAGGGAACACCCCTCTAATAGTGGGACGGGTTTATTAATCCTGGGTCAACATTAGCACTCACACTAGCTCCAGTAGAACCGAACCCATCCCCAAGCACCTGTCCAGTTCGCAAGGTCTCCAAGCTTGGTCCCTGTCCGAGCACCTCCGATAGCCCCCAGTACGCTGGATGGACAAACACCTGCACCAGTTAGGATGGATAAAGCCCTATGAGTGTTGGGAGAACCACCTGCCAACTGGTGCAGGATTCTGTCCATCCACAATACTTCCTCGATAGAACGAGAATTATTAAGTGAAACCTGTGTATGTTTGGCGTCGTGAGCTAACATGACCAAACCTTGCTGTCACGCCGACAGACAAGGACATGCGCGCTGGACACTACACCCACTCAAACAGCACAACCAAATACTCTAATCAGGAATTCTCTATACGCCGTCCGCAGCAAGAATCCCCATGCAACTGTCTTCACAACACCAGAGCTACTAGTGTTTCAATCTGCGCGCATACAGGCTACGATTCAGTTTGCACGAATCATGAGATGACAACGATGTGTAAAATTGCGTGTGTAAGCATAGTAAGCACATGCGCAATTTGTTCATTCTGGTCGACTGAGTATGAATTAATACCCGGTAAATCGTGTATCATGTCGTGTCGTCTATACATTGAATCTGTATATACTTGCTTAGCGATGTTTTGCAAAGGCCAACATAACATAAACCAATCCTGATTGCGATTCCCATCTTGTGTTGTTGTCAAAGTTGAAGAAGGACTATCCGTGTGGGGCGCAGGATATTTGTTTGCACACATGGGTTTCCCCCCACAAACAATGCCGTTGTCCCCTTAAAACAAGGGTAGCCTTAATCAGACGCAACCTCATAACTTGGTTAAACGGTGGGAGCAATCAAAGGGATGGGGCGTGAGCTCATGAGAATCAATAGAACCCTAAAGCCTCCAAGAACCTTCTGCAAGGTTTTGCCTTGAGACAATCCAAGGGTTCCCACTCGGCTCGTTTTGGTTTCCCCTGCTTAATAGTTGACAATATGTTCGCTTTTTTTTTACATATTGATCTGAATATGTTTTCCAACCTGAAATTGGCATTGCATTTGTGCTCCTCTTCTTCCAGAGACCGATGCGCGCTAGAGCCCGGGGCGCGGGCCGGGCATCACTTTGGGCGCCTCGGAAAAATGAGCGACAGGGTGAACCTCTCAACTGGGCGGCTCCAAATACGGAAAAGGACATCCAGCTGGCATAAGGATCTGGCGGATTGATTTGGAACAGCCAATCTTGATTGGAACAGCTCTGTGCACAAGTGAGGATCCACTTTTGGGATGCCTGAAAATGGGGGACCCCAAATCTGGTTCGTTTTGCCGAGCAACTGGACCTCCTCCGTTTGCATTTTCACTTTCTTTTTGGGGTTCCTAACATATCAGGAAATGGGTGCGTCTTTGCAACATCCATTTCTTGGTTTGGAAGGGAGACTAATTCGACTTGGGGGTTTATGCTTATTTAACTTATCCAATCCTCCAACATACTGCTGATGGACGAAATCCATTTTGCACCACCGTTCAGAAACCCTGGAATGATTTGATTCCCTTGTAATTACCAACGTTTGCAAGGGTTTCAACCATGGCTTCATTTCGTGGTTCCAAGTGGATTGTGTCGATCCATAGTATCCTTTCACCCCAACTCTGAGACTACTTGATATTCTATGGAGAGTTCTTGAGATCCCAACCAAAAAGGAGAAACTCACTTCTCGAATGGACTGGCCGAAAGAAGGTCGAAACTTGTTCTTTGCCGCCGACATGGTATTCAGAACTCGGGGAGTGAGGATATCTGTGATTCTCCATATTCACTGAACCGTAGAATCATTTCAGCACGATCTCCGGCAACTCTTGGAGGGAATCCTTTTGGGAAACAAAGAAAGCGAGGCCGTGTGTGGGACGCACGCACCCACCCATTTTTAGGGCGCCAAGCCTCTATTTTGACACCTCAAATTTGCGGTCCCCCGGATCCAAATCGAATCTTAAGACAGCGCTCCAACTCCCTTTGACACACTCCCACCCTGAGCGCTTTGACTTCTAAGATGGTTTTGGTTCTTACACTTGCCATCCCGAACAGAAAACAACTAGGTAGAGCATCTTCCAATGGCCAGCCAAGGGGGGGGCTCCTCAAAATAGGAATTGGAATCATCCTAAGATGGTTCGTGTTCTTTTGTTTCCCCCCAAATACAACCAAAGGGGGCTTTTCCGTTTTACCCGTAGTATCCGTAATAAACCATGTATATATATATATATATACACATACATGTGTACACCATATCAACCCAATAAACTGAGAAAGGTTTATAGGGATTGCTATAAACCATATGGGTGTCTTTCTTAGTGGACCTCCGCAGAATGGGTGGTGTTCCGTTTTGTTTTCCTCTAAAACCCACCAAAAAAGGACACCGACCCTCAGCAACAACAACACACCCCGTATTTGCCAGATAAAACCACCTACTTCAACTGGGCTGTACTCAGATCCCCTGCTAAAAGTCTAACTTGTGGGTTAAATGGAAACCCAACCACCAAACCAGCCAAAAACCTAAAATCCCAAGGTATGGCTGGACCAAACCAACTAAAACCAGCTAAAAGCCAAAGGACACCGGACCGCAAGCGCCAAGCCTCAACTGGGCTGTCCACAGATCTGCTAAAACCCACTTTAAGCCTGCTAAAACCCACTAAGCCAGCCACAAACCACTCAAACCACTAGCCACAAACCACTAAAAACCAAAGGAACCCGGACAGCCGGGGGTTCGCCCAGTGTCCGCTTTTGGGGAATCCGACTCCGGTTTCGGGCCCTCGCTCGCTCGAAACCAGTTTGGTCCCCAGCAGGCAGGCTCAGAAGCTGCGCCCGCTGCTGCTCTTCGAAGCTCGGGAGCTTGGCGTCGTCCAGGCTCCACAGCCACTCCTCGCGCGGTATCCGAAGCAAACAGGAGACCGCGCCGCCTGAAATGCGAGCCTGCTTTTTCTTCTTTCTTTCTTTTTTTGTGTATGTGTGTTTTCTTAGACAGGGGGGTCGGTGGGGGTGGGTGAGGGGGGGTGGGGGAGGATGGGGATTGGGGGGGTGGATTGGGAAGGGGATGGGGTGGCTTTGATTTTTTGAGGGGGACAGTACCTTCTGAGAAACACAGCAAATGTCTCGAAAATGGTGAACCCCCTTTATGGTGAAGGAAAACCAAAGAGCAAGTCATTTGTTGGGCTTGGGTTTGTGAGGCTCGGCACCCATTGGTTGGTGGTTTTAAAGGAAAAATTAAGGGAAGACCAGAATTCTGGAGGGTCCCCTGAAAGAAAGGACAGACCCATTTCAGACAAGGACTCCCCCAGAAATCCCCAGGAATCCAGCTTGTGTTGGGGTAAAACCAAGAGGACAACCGGACCATTTGGCAGCTTGGCCACGAAACATCACATATTCCGTTGGATCTTTTCGACTTTTCTGGGGAAATTGGTGCGATTCGCCGCTTCCTGGTTGCAGGCATTCGCCATCCAGGTCCCGCGAACTTTCACGGGGGGACCATAAGCACGCGAAGGAACCTCTTTGGGAAAGACGCCTTGGCCCGCTGGGACGCACAAAAACCGGTGTGTATGTATATATATATATATATTAATATATTGTATACACAGAATGTTCTGAGCCTCTTTCATATTCAGTCTACCCTAAAATGTACAAACCTTTGGAGGAGAAGGAAGGGGGGGGTGTCAAAATTGGTGACCCTTGGGACCCTTTTGGTATCACCTTGCTTAATGTTGGCACGAGCAATCTTTTTGGTTTCCTCTTGGCAGTTGCAGCTCAGCTCAAGATTTATTGATCGCTTCGGACTGCGGACCTCAGAGGTCCGACCCAATTGATCATTCCGTACAAAGGAAAACCACCGAAGATGAGGTAGTCCTTCAGATGGATCCGAGGTCGACGGCCCCGCAGTCATGAGGTTTGGGCTCGTTGCTTGGCAGAAAAGCTTGGCGCTTCGGCCCCCGATTTCGCGTGCCAGTCAAGGAGAGGTTCTCTGCTTGAGAGAGACCCGCGAGGAAGCACACCTGGCCCCACCTTTCATTTTTTTCTATGGGACCTGCCCGGTGTCAGCATATAATTCTCACATCTTAAACTTATGATAACAACACATGGGTGGTGCGTCACAAAAGGCACACCCAAATGTTGAGAAAAGTTGGTCTCACATCTGTTTCCCGGTCCTTGTGGGTTGCGATTCGGTCAAACCATAGACCAGCCAAAGGGCCGAAACAACTCGAGTGGGTGAAAAACCCACAAGAAAGCGCACATGAGTCGTGGCTCGTCGTTTTGGAGGGTACCTCATGCTGAAGAGGAGAAACTCCAGTGGACTTATGATGTAGCTCAGCTCGGATGTGGCATGTGCTGCTCAGTCAGATCTGCAAAACCGGTCGAATTGAATGAAACACAAGGCAACAGCTGCTAAACGGCCATGATACGCGCTTGACTAGGTCCTCCAGTAGAGAGATTAGAATAAGGGTACCAGCTTTGTAGGGGAACCTTCCCCCAAAAAAGGGTAAAAGGGCACTACTGGGGGACTTAGTTGATGTTGCGATCCTTCCCGACTACCCTAAAACAAATGCAGTCTGCCATGCCCTTTGAGAATCCAGTGAACAAGTCTTCCAATATGTTGTTCTGGCCTCCCTTCGAAAGAACTAATGCCATTCAAAAAGCTTCTAGAGTCGGACCGGTTCATGAAAACGGCTTTCCTTTCAAGTCTGAGATAACATCGCCGCTCTATCAAGAAACCTCAGAGCTCTCATTCTATGCATCCTACAACGCAGTCTATGGTTGCAAGGCGCAGAGGGATTCAACAGCTCTGCACAAAGAGTCGAACGGCACATTCGCATCGCTCAGGCCCACACTGGGCGGCTTCCTGCAGGGGAGCGGCAGGGCCATTTTCGGTCATCTAGAGCTACAAGACCTCTCCCTGCAGCGAAAAGGTGGACCACTGCGGATGTGCCAAGACGACTTTGTGAGCCCCAAACGGTTGATTCCACGTCGGTGCCTGTTCAAAGCTTCCCCCAACATGACATCGGTTTTGGTGAGAACTACGGCAAATGTTTCTTGTTTACCGAAGCCCTATGTATGAATTGGATTTCGCTGAGTGCGCCCAATGTCACCCTCTTTGCTCTAACAAATGACTGGCTGTCAAAATTATCTGCCTGAACATCATCAATACGGGAAGGTCCCATCGCCACACACATACACACATATTTGCCCCCAACTCTTCAGGGGCCTTCGATGCGGCCTTCTGCGTCGACGCGGCTGAAAACGACCATCGAAGGAGCCCATCGAAAGTCGGCACTCGTGGTGGTGGAGCAGTTGTTCTAGGGGTTGATTTTCCTTGTCCATTCTTTTCAACCATCGTCCTTTCCAAAAACCGATCGCTGTTTCCCCCCCAAATTTGTGATGGTTTTCCAGAAAGATTCGGATGCCTGGAAAGAATGGGGAAGTGTCCCCTAGAGTTGTGGTGGTGGTAGTAGCAGAGGCACTAGCAGCGGCAAGCAGAAGTAGCAGAAGTAGCAGAAGTAGCAGTAGCAGCAGCGGGTGGTGCCATACATCGCAAGGGTATGAGGTCCAAGTGCCAACCAGCGGATTGCATCTGACAGCCCATGACTCCCGCACTCTTCTGACTCTTCGCTGGGCAGCGAAACGAACCAAGACCTTGGAGAAGGTGGGCTGTATCCCATATGAGTGTTGTCTCCAAAATGGGGGCGGGAAGCGAAAAAAAAAGGGGAAGACACACCATAAAACGTCCTATGGTTGCCAGGGGCCCCAAAAACAAGCCTAGTAGACCCTAGACCCTATTAGTCCCCAGCCCCTATTGGGATTCGGGACTCGGCCCCTGGGGACCTCTTGCTGGGAAAACTAAGAATAACCGTGCCACAAGGAAACAAATCATATTGGATGCCATCTTTTGCTTGGTCATGGGTGCTGGGGGGAGGGAGGGGGGGGGGGAGCCCAAATAAGCCCCTTATTAAGGGCTGAATATTTGGGCTCCCTCCCCCTCCCCCTCCCTCCCCCCCAGCCCCCATGACTTGGGGGCTGATCTGCAGTTCCAATTCACCCCCGATCCATGTGACAGAAGCGGCCCTGAGGCTGGTTTCTGGGGTGTGCTAGCTGTCTATGGGCGCCTTATCTGTTGGCTTCCTTCTAGTGTGCATCTCCAATCATTTTGAAAAGTATAATACACCTAGTATAATACATGTATGTATACATCTATATATTATATGTCAATATACATACTGTGTCTAGCATATGTTGAGGAACTCATGAAGAAATGAGGCTAGCACGACTTTGCCACATGTCTTGTATATGCCTAGCAGTGTAAGCATGTGTCAAATATGGTATCTTCGAGTTTGCACGATGTATATTGTCAGCAAGACTTGCATAATCCTACCATACTCTCATGTTTCAAAGGGTTGGAGGGTATATACAAAATTGTTTCGTTCGGAGACTCCAAAGCAATCCCACATGTTTCAAGTACATCTATGAACATATCTACAGTAGCTTGATAGAATTTCCAGCTCAATTCACACACACACACACGACTGACTCCATACATCTTATATCAACATGAATACACATTCATATACAGGTGTATGTATATCAAACAATATATATATATATTGTACAACATGGTTCATCATATATATATATATATATGTATACACACATGTGTATCTGTATACATATCTTCTACAACATCGTTTCCTTCGGCTCCAAAGCAAAGCTTGAACTCCGCATTGAATAAAACATATTCGCTCCTCGTTTCCTTTCTTGTTCAGCTCAGATCCGAATCGACGCGCGCGAATCGGCTCGCTTCAAACGCGGGCGCTCCTGCGGCGAGGCGCCGCAGAAAGGCGCAGCACTCCGCGGCGCTGCGGGGCGCCTGCTGCGCCGTGGCGGCCTTCAGAGAGCGAGCGGGAGCCGTTGATGGGTGGATGTTTGGGGGGGGGATCCCCCCAAAGTGGGAAAACCAGATTGGAGGTTCTTCTTTGATATGTTGGTGTGTTTTCTTCTTTGTTTCCACTTAGTTTAAAAGGGAAGTCTTAAAGGGGATTGTTGATGCTGTGGAGATGTTCTTGTTTGATGCTGTGGACGGACGAAATCCTGCACCACCCAAGAAACCCTGGAATGATGACTTCCCTGTAAATACCAACAAGCATGGGTTTCCCATAGTTTCAAAGTGGTGTAGGATTTCGGCCATCCACGGCATGTTTGTATGTTTTCGGTTCTATATTTTTTGTTTTAAGGGGTAGGTCTCAAAGGGGATTGTTTATTTTTCTCAACATGGGTAACTAAGTAAGGGGGATGACGCACAACTGCTATTATTTGGGTAAAAGTGGGTGACTAAGCTGGGAAAATACTGTACGTGCCTTTAAAACACAAAAACAAACTAAGTAATGTTAGATAGCGAATAATAAAAGGGGAGTGAATACAGAAAAAAACATCTCAAAATTATTCACTCTCCTGAAAAGCAAAAAGGGTAGGTATTACAGAAAAACATCTGCCCGAAATCCCGAAAATATGTTCCCTTTCAAGAACGGACTATTTCTGAGGGTTGAAACGTTTGAGTCCTGCCAGAAATGTCCAAAATTTCTGGATTGCTTCCGTCCCACATCACGAATTTCCTTGTCAATCCCTTTACTAGAAGATGCACCCTGACAAATTTTCAAGGGGGTGGCACACGGAACCCCCAGGAAGGCAATAATGCAGTTTGTTTAAGGGTAGGGAATTGTGAAAAAAAATGGCCAGGGCAGCCTGCCAAGAAGAAGAACCCATACTAAACCAATTCTAAACTGTAGTGAGTCAACTGAAAAGAATACTGAACTATTACTAAACCAATTCTAAACCGTAGTGAGTCAGCTCAAAGGAATACTAATCCAGTACTACACCAATTCTAAACAATACTTACTGGAAGACTACTCAGGCTGGTCCCAGTCTGACCCCCATTTTGTTTTTGGGGTTTTCGCTATTGACCCCCCCCAATTCGTTTGAGGGGGGGGGGCCTTTATGACTCACTCTCCAACATTAAAGGGGATAGCTAAAGCAACATGTCAACGAATATGTATCATCTAGTTTCACCTGACTGCAACCTGTTCTAATTAACGGCTCTAGAAGGTATGCACCCAAGGACAAGGTGTGTGGCATCCGAAAGGAACCCATTTCTTACCCCTTGAGCGTGTCCAAAAAGCGCCCGGCGGCCGCAACGCAAACGGTAATGATGATACGCAACTGAGCTGCCCGAGTTCAGATCCCCCGCTGAAAGTTGAAACCTTTCAGTGGGTGAAATGGACACTCCCAACACTAAAAGGCGAAGAGGCTCAGGGGAGGCCACCCAAACCCCTCGCCCACATCTTTTTTCTTGACATGATTTGAGGTTCTGCGAAAAAGTGGCCCCAGAATGCTCGACAAGTATGTTTCAAGCTATGCCCTACAATCTGGGACCTGTATGTCTAAGGCAAGAGCTGTTGCCCCATGGACACCCCAACATTGTAACTAGGCGACCATGAAGGCAACAACCCCAATTGTCGGCCTGTTCGTAGCCTACTAAACTTCAAGCAGCGATGTAATTTATTCACTTTCCACCCCATCGATCGACCTTCGATTTGGGAAGACCTACAAGTGGCAGCATGAACTGACCCCATGGTGTTTCCCATTGTTAGAGTTCCCCAAGGGGTATGTTAAAGAACAAACCACCCCTGTATCTGACTTAGACAGTCAAACAATGACCCTGGATCTTCAATAATGTTCACCAGGATTAATCAACCCGTCCCACAATTAGGGGGTGTTCCCTCCAAAAGTGATGACTCCCCACCAAAAGGGGACACCCCCCCATTAATCAACCAGGGGTTTATTAATCCGGGGTTAACATTAGTTGATGCTTCCATCATTTAGCTGTACCTCTTTGGTTTGAGATGGACCCTGGACCACTTGATATGGGAAGAAGACACAAGAAGCAGGTTCGGGTGTTTTCCTCGACGAGAGATACGACAAATGCCCTGAATATGTCGAATCGGGACCCTGTGGTGGACACCACTTACCTGGGGATTGGTCAGATCAAGCCTCCTGAAACTCCCATTATGTTTCCATTGCTCCCCTGCATGTCTGCATGGAACTCTTCGTCATGTTTTTCTGGGTTCCGTTCTTCCTCTGCAGGAGGGAATATTACCCCTGCAAAAGGTCAAAAGGTGGCAATGCCTTCTGCGAACTCTGCCTGATGCATGATGGTGATGATCTCGATGCGGTCGGACAGCATCACTGCATACCGTTGGCCTTAGCAGGAGGAAAACCCTAGGCCGCCCCTCCCCACCCCAAGAAGGATTCTGGATGATATGGGGGGGTCCCTAATGACGAGCACTACCAGTAGCAAAATGAAAGCAATTGCGACGCGTCAAAAAAGAAATGCCGACCACGGATTGCTTTGAGTCGTTGCGCAACATTCAAAAACAGGCCAACAAGCACCGCCACGCATGAGCCATTGCTTTTATAGGTTCATTCCTTATGAGCAATACATAGGATTGGTTCATAGTACATGCCAGTAGATAAGAACCTCTTGATCAGATTGGATTTGTACTACAATGATATGTACAACAATTAAGATTGGAATGGAACACATATACTGGATCGAATTGGATCGAGAGAGCTGGCTACATGTGGGCTACATGTGGACCTTGTTCTCTTGCCTCTCTCAGCCCTGGCAACCGCAAGCACAATCAAATTATGCGAGTAGGTGGTCAAATGAGCATGCTCGTGTATCGTTGACCCTGTCTTGTTCTAGCATGTCATATCATGTTAGCATTTCACACTCGCTCCAGTTTCCATTGGCCAAAGAAGCCTCACAGCAGTTGATGTAGCAGCTGGCAGCCTGCTTTGTGTTCAAGTATCCTCCAAATGCTTAAGTCCCCTGGAGCAACATATTTTCAGCAGCGATAGATTCCCTTAAAGCCAACAAGGAAAACACACAGACACTTGAGCAAATGGAAGGTAGGCAATTCTCTGTGGCTTGTGTTGCTCTAGTTGCTGGGAGCTTTGTTCGTAATGGGTCACTCAACCCCTGGTTTTGTTTCAGAGCTCCAAACAAACGGCTTCCCCAGAGATTCCTCAAAAGCAGCTCACAAGAGCATCCCTGAAAAAGCTTTCGACACACACACACACGCACAGGGTTCCCCATATTTCCATTCAAACATCTCACGTAGCTACACTCCCTTTGCACATCCGTCCAAAAGGCGATGGAACAAGCAACAAATGAAATAGGGGTGTCTTTGTCTAGAAGTTTGTTTATTGGGGGAATCAACGGAAAACCAAAATTCGTTTGGGGGATCCGAATCCCAGTTTTGTGACACCTGAGCACCGGTCATGCAGACTGCTCGTCGGGCGCAATGTCCAAAATCGGCGCGTTGAAATTCAATACCCCCTGCAGGTATGCAAGGGTTGAAACATTTCGCAGTGAATGGGCCAGGGCTCAAGACTTTTCTTGGGGCCAATGACCCAAAAGGCACATGTTTTTGGTTTGCTTCCAGATGTGATTTTAGTACGCCTGAAGATGGGAAGGGCTTTTGGTTTGGTTAGCCCCTTTTTTGTCCGGTCCAACCTCAAAGACAGTCCAGTCCAGAAAAACAAACTCGGGAAGCGGGTGGCTTGCTCACTGTCCGACATGCCAGCGCTCAACAAGGCCTACGTCTTCACTTCCGGAGTTGATGGGTCAAACCGAGTCCAGAGTCCAGGAACCCAGGAACCAGAACTTGAAGCGGCATGTGGGCGAGTCTGTTTTTGAGGGTACCCCTGGTTTGGCTTTTAAAGGGAAACCAAAAGGAACACCCACATGAGTCGCAATCAAAACCGATCGGTACTAAAATGGTCGTAATCCCAGAACCATGTACAGGATTAAGAAGGTGGATATCCGCAGTTATTTATGGTTGGGATCGTCCCTTGCTAACCTTCATCTACCCGGGGTTTGATTGTGGCTCAAATGGTCCAGGAACCAGGGAACCAGAACTCAAGTGCGCAGAACCAGTATTTGCCACTAAAACGGTCCTAAGAAGCTTTTTCTTTCCAGGACGGGAGTGAGTGTCACCAAACCACTTCAAACACATGGGCCATTGATCTCTCCGAGTCAACTTCTGGACGCCCGGAGAACAAAGACCAGGTCGGGACATGAGTTGCTCAATGTGTCTCTATGGGCCGGAAAAGTGGCGTGAGTCACGTGCCAGCGCGCCAGCGCCTGCATTTCAAGCGCCTGAGCTGGCTCACCTCAGTGCAAGAAGGCCGCCGCCCTGTGCCTCTGCATCCTTTGTCAGAGCCGTCTGGATTTGGCAAACAAATGCCTGCGCTAGCGCTTTTGCTGCCGTTCATGAGCAGCTATCCACGCAACCAAGTGAACAGTTTCTGCCATTCTTGAATGCGATGCTGTTGTGACTTGGGGGCCATCAATCTTTCAGCGGAAATTAGGGACCGGCCTCACCATGCAAGAAACTCCACTGAAGCCAGTGAAAGCGTCCGATTCAAAGCCTAAGGCCTAAGGCTTTCGGGCTGTTGGATCTGCAAAAAACAAAACGCCTTCTCAGAAGGTCCCCCAGCATAGGGGAGGTTTCTCAAAAAACATCAGCACCAGGACCGTGTGCTGAAGCCATTTCGGAGAGTGCAAGTGCATTTGAAACTTGTTTGTTGAATGGGAATTTTGAGTCGGGGACCTTGTTGGGAAATGACTTAGATGGGCATTCATGTCCACCAACCACTTTTGAGGTGTTTCTGTCTTAAAATTCCTGGCCGTAGTTGCTCATACGTCAGTTTCGACATGCGCAAACTTCTTCGATGCGACCCTGTGCGCTGTGGTCTACTTCGTTTCGTACGGCAACTTGGTCTATCTTCTTCCTTCGGATGCTGTCCGAGCGTCGGCCGTGGCAAGCTCGGAACATCTCAAACATCATCTCATGCGGGCTGGGGGGGAGGGAGGGAAGGGGGGAGGGAGCCCAAATAAGCCCTTATTAAGCCCTTAATAAGGCCTTATTTAGGTTTTATTTGGGCTCCCTCCCCCTCCCACTCCCTCCCCCCCAGCCCCCATCATAATCTAACCTGAGCTAGCACCTCTGCGGTCATTGCTTCCCTGGAATCTCCAAATGCGGCGGACCCACGTTTGGATGCGATTTCTCAATCACATGATCAGCGACATCAGTGACATCTATGATTTTGTGCAACAGCTTAGTTTTAGATTAACCTTGGTTTTGCTTGAACCGGTCATTCATTCAACATGTCCTTCCATTTGCTTAAGTCGCCCGAACATCATATTCTTCCAATAGTGATAGATTCCCTTTAAAATCAGCAGGAGAAAATACAAACACGGAAGTGTCTTAGCTTCACGTCTTCCATTTCGGGCATCCCAGTTTCACTGCTGCCAAGGCCCCTGCCGGCTGAATGCAAGTTGGCCGGAGCGCGCTCCAAACGCACTGACCTAGGCTGCGAGGCTCCGCTTCGGTTTTGTGTGGGCATTTCCCCTCGAGTCAAAGCGAAGGCAACCGAATTCCCTCCAACTATGGAACTTCAGTCACAGCAGGGTTTTGGAAGTCTACTTTGCTTCTTCGGGATAAAGGCTCTACACTTTGTGATGGGACGTGTAGCTTTGCGAGTCGTCTTCTCAACCCAGACACAATCCGCACGTCTTCAATTTCTCTGTGACGACTCCATGGCTCATGCTTGCGTGAATTAGGGCCCGCTTCCTGAGGGCCTTTGCTCAGAGAGGCCTTGAGAATACCAACCGAGTGGGATTGCATTTCTGCTCACCCGGACCCACAATCGAATATTTCAGCATCTTTTTCGACATGTCGGATTTCCGTGTGTGTTCCTTGAGGACCCCTGGTTTCTCGTCCCAACTCCAGCTCCGGCGCCGTGAAAACCTCCGTCCGCCTCGGGGCCTCTGGGGTTCTGGGGCCTCGGGGCCGGGCACGGCCAGCTCCGCCGCGGCGCCCCGCAAGGCCGCGCAGAACCAGGTGCTGCCCCCTGCATCCAAGTTAATACCCTGCAGAAGCTGTCAAATAGTACCCAAATCCAAAGAATTAAAACAAATGTTCATCTTAATTAACACCTGTTTCGACTCCTTTTCCTGCTACCCCGAAAACCCGCCCCCCCCCTCCCACGTAAGCCATGAGACACTGAAACTTCTCGGTTGCTAACTCTGCTCCCCGGCCAACAGTTTTTAACTGTTAGTGGTTTAATACGGAAAACCCACTAGTTGGAAAGTTAAAGTCTATAACATCCAAGCAAAATGCACCACAGCTATGGCCATAGATTCGCAGTCACTGTCAGCCCTGGCAACCGCAAGCACCAGCAAATTCTCCAAGTAGGTGACCAACATCATTGCATGTTCATCTATCTTTGACCCTCAGTCTCCACAAGAGCCTAAGAGTTGTGCAGGGGCTGGAAGCCTGCCTTGTGTTCAAGTATCTTCCATATGCTGAAGTCCCGGAAACAACATAATCAATTTTCAGTAGCCATAGATTTCCGTCAAAGATAGCGGAAAATACAAAACATATCCTTGTACTTGAGGAGCGGGTGAACGAAAGCTAGCAGTTGTTGCATGAGATGGGTCGGTGACAGAGTGGATTCATAGGTAGCTTGTGTACAACGAGAGGCCCGGCAAGATTTGTAGGATGCGACACGCAAACGCACATGGTGGCGTGGCAAACCTTGAAAAATGAAAACAACGAGAGGCGTCAGAAGCTGTCTGCAAGCACCTCTGGGTTCTGCATGCTGCGTGTGCAAAGATTCTTGCGAGGTGGTTTACCGAGAAGACTGAGGTCTCAAATGAACAAGCTGAATCGGTGGAACATGTAAAAGTTCGTAGCACCAAGTCCAAAACGGGCAAACCGAGACTGCTGAACACTGAGCCACTGCCCGGGGGGGGGATGGACCAGGGAGGAATCGAGCCTGAGACCGGGGGGGGGGGGGGGGAGGGGGGGGGGGGGTCTAAATAATTGATGTTTTTCAATCTTTTCGGCTCAAATAATTGAAAAAATCAATCTTTCGGCATTTGAGCCCCTTACCTTGCTTACGCAAGGAGAAACTTCAGCTAGCTAAAGCTAGCTTTCGTGACAAATGGAAGGTACGCAAGTGTCTATGGCTTGCGTTGCTCTAGTTGCTGGGAGAAGATGGTTTTGTCTCAGAGCCCCAAACGGACGGCTTCCCTGGTTCCTCAAAAGCAACTCCAAAAGGGAGCCTGTCACAAAGAAACACACGCACAAACACACACACACACACACACACACACACACACACACACACACACACACACACACACACACACACACACACACACACACACACAGAGACACAGACACACAGACACACAGACACACAGACACACAGACAGACAGACAGACACACGCACACACATACGCACAGGGGTCCCCATAGTTCCCTTCAAACACCTCAGCTAGGTACACTCCCGCCTAGAAGGCGATGTCTAGAACAAGCAAAGGACATACTGTGGATGGACAAAATCCTGTACCACTTTGAAACCATGGGAAAACATGGATCGTTGATATTTACAGGTTTCTTAGGTGGTGCAGAGTTCGTCCATCCACAGTGTGGGTGTGTGCTTTTCTAGGAGAACCCCTTCTTGCTTCCTAAGTGGATTGGCGAACAAAAAGTTCCCTCACTTTTTGTTCGCAACTTAAATGATCCTCCCAAAAGTGGTTAAAGTCCCGCAACTCAGGGAGTGTTTCAAGCAGAACTCGAATCGGTCCCTGCAAACTGGGCTGCTAAAAGTTGTTCACTTGTGGGCTTAGTGGAAGCCCAGGTTTCAGACCTTCGGAACCTGGGAACCGCCAAGCGAAATAGAACCCGATTGAGAAAACACCATGGCTGTGCGTGGGTCAAAACCGTTTTGGGATCCCATTTTGGTGGGTAGGTGAATTCACCACCCATTTAAGGCTTCCTATTTTGGTGATTGGATTGAATTGGATGTTCGCTGGGGGTACGATTTGGATTTTGACCACAGCCACATGACTTCGCAGTCCAAGCAGGCTCAATTTTCTTGCATGCGCCGAACACCAGCCCAAAGCCACAGCCCAACCAGCCAAGCCTGCACGCGGGCACCCGCCAGACTAAGCCCGTGATGTGGGTGTGGGTCAAAAAAAAAACAGTTCCCCAAATGGAATCCTGGCAAATGGACAGAAGGACTAAAGCCTGCGGTCCAGTGGTGGTTTAATTTTCACCCATCTCCATGTGTTCAAGCTTTGTTGCGCGGAAGGTGAGGAGCTTCTGTTGGGATTCTTGAGCCTCGCCTTCCATTCACATTCTTACATCTCTTGCGGGGTATCCTCCGAAAAATGTGGCTTCTTGTTGCGTTCCCCCTTTTTCTTGC